ATATGTCAAATGGACCTAACAGACATCTTCCAATTATTCCACCCAAACACCAAAGAATACACTTTCTACTCAGCACCTCATGGAACTTTTTCAAAAATTGACCACACACGGGGCCACAAAACAAACCTCAAAAAATACAAAAATATTGAAATAATTCCATGTATTCTATCAGACCACAAAGCAATAAAGCTCAAAATCAACATGGGACAAAGCCCTAGTCACTACACAAACTTGTGGCGATTGAACAACACACTCCTAAATAATGAGTGGGTCAAAGGAGAAATTAAAGAAATAAAAGAATTCCTGGAATTCAACGAAAAGGACAATACAACACAACACAACCTCTGGGACACATTAAAAGCAGTCATTTATAAGGGAAGTTTATAGGTCTAAGTGCCTACATTAAAAATTTAGAAAGATCCCAAATAAATGACCTAACACTAAAACTCAAGGCACTGGAAAGGCAAGAACAAATGAAACCCAAACCCAGCAGAGGAGAAGAAATAACAAAAATCAGAGCAGAAATTAATGAAATAGAAACAAAGAAAACAATACAAAGAATCAATGAATCAAAGACCTGGTTCACAGACACACATCAAAAAGATCATTCACTATGATCAAATAGGCTTTATCCCAGAGATACAGGGATGATTCAATATATGCAAGCTAATAAATGCCATTAGTCATATAAATGGACTCAAAGACAAAACCACATTGTTATCTCAATAGATGCAGAAAAGGCTTTTGACAAATTTACGCATGCATTTATGTTCAAAATCCTAGAGGGAATTGGACTGGAGGGAACATACCTCAACATAATTAAAGCTATATACAACAAACCCACAGCCAACATCATTCTAAATGGAGAAAAACTGGAACCATTCCCATTAAAATCAGGAACTAGACAAGGATGTCCACTATCTCCAATCCTTTTCAATATAGTGCTTGAAACTCTTGCTAGAGCAATAAGACAGGGGAAGGAAATTAAAGGAGTACTAATTGGAAGAGGTCAAATTATCACTTTTTGCAGATGATATGATACTATACCTAAGAGATCCCAAAAGTTCCACCAGAAAACAGTGAACTGGCATGCTACAAAATTAATATACAACAGTCTATAGCCTTTCTATATACCAATAACAAGCAATCAGAGAAAGAGTACATGGAGATATTCCCCTTCACAATAGCTGCAAAAATGAAAAAAAAAAATCTCAGAATAAATCTGACCAAAGCCACCAAAGATCTCTACAATGAAAATTTTAAATTGTTAAAGAGATTGAGGAAGACACCAGGAGATGGAAGGACCCCCCACGTTCATGGATTGGAAGAATTAATATGGTTAAAATGACCATCCTACCAAAAGCAATATATGGATTCAATGCAATCCCAATCAAAATCCCCATGACATGCTTCACAGAATTAGAAAAATACATCCTTAAATTCATATGGAGGCACCAAAGACCCTGGATAGCCAAAGTAACCCTGAGCACAAAGAGCAATGCTGGGGGGATGACTATACAGATCTCAAGGTAAACTACGGAGCTATAGTCATAAACACAGAATGGTACTGGCAAAAAAACAGACACATAGATCAATAGAACATCATCGAAGATCCAAACCTGAGTACATGTAATTTCAGCCACCTGATATTTGATAAAGGTGCCAAGAACACACAATGGAGGAAAGACAGCATCTTCAACAAATGGTGTTGGCAAAACTGGATCTCGACCTGCAGAAGAAACTAGATCCTTATCTTTCACCTTGCACAAAAGTCAACTCCAAATGGATCAAAGACCTCAATGTGAAACTGGAAACCCTGAAACTATTAGAAGAAATTACTGGCAGTAACTTACAGGATATGGTGTAGGAAAGGATTTCCTAATTCAGAAGTTGCTCAGGAATTAAGGTCTGCAATCAATGAGTGGGACCTCATTAAACTAAAAAGATTCTGTACAGCAAAAGAAACAATTGAAAAGTGAAGAGAAAACCCACAGAATGGGAAAAAAATCTTCACTAGCGACACATCTGACAGAGGTTTAACATCTGGAATATATAAGGAACTCAAAAAAACAAAGAATCGAGAAATCAAATGACCCAATTAAACGATGAGCTAAAGATCTAAACAGAGAGTTCTCAAAGGAAGAAACAAAGATGGCTAAGAAACATCTCAAAACGTGTTCAACATCGTTAGTAATTAGGGAAATGTAAATTAAAACCACCCTAAGGTATCACCTTACCCCAATCAGACTGGCTAGGATCAAGAGAACAAATGATACCAAATGCTGGTGAGGATGTGGAGAAAGGGGAATGCTCATTCACTGCTGGTGGGATTGCAAACTCGCGCAGCCTCTATAGAAAACAGTATGGAGAACTCTTAAAAACTAAAAATGAACCTACCATATGAACCGGTTATACCACTCCTTGGCATATACCCAAAGGACTCATCCTACTGTAGAGACACTTGTACAACCATGTTTGTTGCTGCTCTTTTCACAATAGGTAAGAGATGGAAGAAACCTATGTGTCCCTCAACTGACACTTGGTTAACAAAAATGAATGGAACTCTATTCAGCAGTAAAGAAAGATGAAATAATGAAATTTGGAGGTAAATGGATGGATCTAGAAACTGTTATACTAAGTGAAGTAACACAGACTCAAAAAAAAAAAGAAATGATGTATGTTCTCCCTCATATGTGGCTCCTAGCACCAAATCCTTTTAAATTCCAGGTCCTTTGAATAAGATGATGCTATACATCAGTCCCTTCTGCATGAAATAACTATCATCATCACAACATCACCTGAGCCTGATCACTAAACATCACCACAAGTGGGCTTGTTGACGGTTGTGCTCATTCATTAAAGGAGGGCCAAGCAGGGTCATTGGACTCTCACCGGATTATCCAGCCACTCTTCTGAGCCAACTGTATGTGACTTGGCCCTAATCACACACGGCCTCCTGGATTTGGGGAGGCCTAAAGGATACAATCAGGGCAAGGCTGGCAAGAGAAGGCATGACCCATGCTGAGTAAAGGCTTTCCAGTGTGCATACCCTCAGGTCATACATACACCTCAGCAACTCCTCAGTTATCTGGGTAAGTATGCTCAATAAATTCATTGGTTCCCCAGTAAAACTTTAAACAAACATCAACTTGACACTAGGACCTTAAAAGGGAATAAGCATTGCTTAGCATCTCCAGAAAAAGAAGTCTCGCAACAGATGGAAAATTTGTTAATTCTATCTCATAATTATTTTTTAAAAAAGAAAATGAGACTGTAAAAGATGTTAAAAGGATATGGGAATGGAGATATTTTCCAAAATAGAAAAAATGAGAAAGCTTAAGCAAGTGATGAAGATCTGTGTAGGTTTCCTATGATATATAAAGGATTAGTTTAATACATGTTTAAGGGTGATAAGAATAGGAGGTAGGAATTGGCTAGGCAGTTAGAGTAAAAAAAAACCCAAAGAAATGTAGCCAGTTTTGGGGCTAAAAGTCAAAATGTCTTTGGGCCTGTTAACAACATACTCTGATTCAAAGGCCAAAAATGTCAAAAGTATTTGGGAGCTTGTATCTAATCCTTAAAAGATTTTAGGGTTACCTCTTGCAGAGGGGGGAATGTTGGAGGGGAGGGAGTGGGCATGGATTTGATCAAAACACCTTATTTACATGTATGAAATTCTCAATAGTTTCTGTAAAAGTTAAAAAAAAATTAACTGAAAGGCCTGTGAGCATGTCTGTGGCGGACTGTTCATTGAGGCCAGAGGACTCAGCCCACTGTGGGCAGCACCATTCCCTGGTTTGGGATTCTGAACAGTATAAGAGAGAAAAAAAGCTAGCCAAGAGTAGAAACAAGCAGGCAACATGGAGACATTCCTTTCTCTCTGTTCATGACTATGGATGTGATGTGACCAACTGCTTGAAATCCTGCCTTGACTTCCCCCCACTGATGGACTGTAACTTGCAATTGTAAGCTAAAATAAACCCTTCCCTCCCTTAAATTGCTTTTGGTCAGGGTGTTTTATCACAGTACCAGAAATGAAACTAGGACAGTGCCCATTCATCTGCCTTCCAAATAACTTGTCAATGACAAAGGACATGCACAGATCACCAGGGGTGCATGTTTCCCATTGCATACCCTCCTGAGCCCATGCGTCCTCCTGCCACCTGGCTGGGGCAGCTAGTTTTGATGCAGCTGTCTATAGATGTGGCACTAAGATACTGAGTCTGGTACAAGAATTATGATTGATCATCAATACCAAGAAGGACCATGGGGTTAGACTTGGAAAAGGAAACATTTACTGTGGTGTTGGTTTTCATACCCCACTACCTATCATATGTGGAAAGGAGTACAAAAGAACTAAGAGCATGGCTTTGGACTTTGATACTGGAAAAGTCCTTAAGGAGGTGAACTAGTCAAACCCGCTGGTTTCGGCTGTTTCTCCAGGGCCACACAGACCCAGCTTCACATCCACAATAAAAGCTCCATTTTGCTTTGGTTTTGTTGCATGCACGTCTGAACTCTGTGGCTGATACTTAGCAGTTGGGTTTAACAATCAGAAATACTAAATTGTTTATAGAATACTAGAGGTGAAGAGGTTATAGAGATAGCTCAGTGGTTAAGAGCACTGGCTGCTCTTCCAGAAGACCCAGGTTTGATTCCCACCACCCACGTGGCCACTAACAACCATCAGTTCCAAGGGATCTGACAACGACCTCTTCTGACCTACTTGGGCATTGCACAACACAAGGTACACTTACACACATGCAGGCAATACACTTACATACATAAAATAAAAATAATAAATAAAAAATTTAAAAAGAAAACTAGAGATGAAATTCCACATACAGAATCAACTCAGATCCAAGATGTGCGAAGCTACAAACAGCAGCCCCACCTATCCCTGCCCATCTGCAGAGGCCTGGGGAGATGATATAAAATTCCTACACTTCCTTTGGCACAATAACCTTGCAGGTGCATAATCTGAAGGATGGAAAGGATATGAAGGAGTGCCTCGTCGTGACTGTGCATCGCCATGTGAAGTTGGTCTTCCATGTGCAGGAGCTTAGTGCTTATGGCTTCGCATTTTTCTCCAAGTTCAGCAGAAATGATGGAAGATTCCTAGTCGGAAAAAGAGAAAAGGATCATGAGTCATGAGTCAGCTGAGGAATGTTGAGAGCTACGTGCACAGACTGGACACGTACGGGAAGCTCTCCAGCTTCTACACTCAGAGGGAACCCTGCTGGGGTCTCTCTTTTCCCACAAGGTTGTTTGTGAGAACCCAAGAGCCAAGCTCATGTCATACCTGAAGGCTGTGTCTGCATAGCTCCACAGGTTCCTGCCTTACCTGGTCTTTTTGAAGCATGACCATTATGTCAACTCCCCAGATGGACTTATCCAAGGGAAGTCTGAATTTTCCAGCTGAATTCTCAGGCAATTCACAACATGATAAATATGCTAGGAAAAGGTGCAGAGACATCACTGGGGGACTGGACTAACAGACAATAGAGGAACATTCCTTAAAGGCACCGGAACTTAAAAGGGCACTGAGGAGACTTTATTCATTTATTCATTTTTAAAAGTTTTTTTTTTTAATTTTATGCCTGTATGTGTACATATGTACCTCGTGTGAGCCCATGGGAGGCAGAGGAGAGTGGAACCAGAGTTATACATGGCTGTTAGCTGCCATATGGGTGCTCAGAACAGAACCCAGGTCCTCTGCAAGAGCAGCCAGTATTCTTAACCACTGAAGCATCTCTCTAATCCCTCGTTTAGTTTTGTGTGTGTGTGTGTGTGATCATGTGTGCAGGTGGGGTGTGTATTCACATGTGTGTGTATACATGTGAATTATTCCTCAGGTGCCACCAACCTTGTGTTTTGAGACAGAGTCTCTCACTGGCCTAGAGTGCACTAATTAGGATAGCCTGGCTGGCCAGAGAGTCCCAGGGATCAGCCTACCTCTACTTCACCAGGACTGGGATTACAGACAGATGATACCATTTCTGCCTTTTTATGTAGAGCTGGAGTCAAACTCAGGTTCTCGTGCTTATGTGACAAGTACTTTACTCACTGAGCCATTGCCCAGCCATGCAGGAGACTTTAAACACTATGAGGCATTTATCGTCTGTTCTTCTGTCGCTGTCACCCTGGCCTCATAAGAGCAGAGATAATGGTGCCTGGCATAGTGCCAGGCCCCCACTGAGCAACAGGCAGGTGGACAAGCATGTTCAGTGAACAAACAGCTGGGTCTTGAAGCTCCTGGCTCTTCAATGTTTCCCCTTCAAATGTGCAACCTACCCATGAGCAGGTGCCACCTTTATGTCACCTTTTTTTCACAGAACCACCCCACAAAAGTCTAAATTTTGCTTGGCCACTAGCTCATTGAAACTGCACTTTACTGGCGTCTTCTGACCCTCCCCACACAATCTGACCTTGGCCAGGTTGCCTGAGCCTGTTGCCTTCTCTCCCTCCTCTTCCTGTGAGTACACACTCTTCTACCCTCTTCTGAACTCTGTCCTTCCGTCAAGGCCGCACACAGTAGACCACATCAGTTTTGTGCTCTGTCCCTTCAAGTGCTGGAAACTCACACACAAAAGGGCCACTTGTTCATCCCAGGATCCCACATGTAATACCTGACCTGGAGAAGGCCACATATTCTTAAAAATAATTAACAAGGTCAAGAAAATGAGGAGAGAAAATAGGGAATCATGTAATAAAGGGAAAAAAAGTCAGGAATGAGCTCATAACTGAAACGACGTAACTGTAAATGTAATGCTTCCCCAGCTAATTGTGAAAGACATAGAAAGTCCACTGAAAGAATTTTGCATAAGAACTGGGGATAGACCCATACCCAAGAGTATTTTGGAAACACAGATTAGATTCCATAGGCCTTTAAAAAAAGACATAAGTAATAATAGAGGATGTGAAGGTGGGGGGCGGGGATAGTAAGGTAGAGGCAGAGGGGGGAGGCAGTCTGAATATAAGCAAAATACAACATATGAAATCCTCCAATCAGTACAAATATTTTAAAAAAGAATTAAAGGCTGTATTCAGATTAAATGGCAGAGCTAGTTCAAAAACTGCAAATACTGACTCTCACATAAAATGTTCAGTTGTGGTAGCACCTTTCCAAGTCTTTACACCATGCATAATATATTATAATCAGAATCCAGAAACAACAATTCAATCCACATACATGCCTTGACATTTGCTCCACTCACTCTGGAATGCTTCACAGTTTATGTCCCTAACAATCGACTCTGCCTTAATAAAACAGAGCTAATGGGAACTATAAATAACTATGGCAAATATTGGAGAAGTCTTGTATAATGTAAGAAATTGTATATACAAAAGTAAGGAAATCTCTGGACAACATGGAGGATACATGGATGCCATTAGATGGGCTTGAATGTGAGGCATGAGCAAAGGTTTGCTCAGAAGTAACCACAGTGTGCTGAGGAGAGGACAGCAAGGCAGAGAGCAACAGATGTGCACTGTGGAGCCTAAGAGCAGAGGTATGTCACTCAAAGACATGGCAGATGGAGGGGAAGAAATTACATGGGAGTGAGGGCAGCAGTGACTAGGACCGCGTCATGCTCAAATCAGCATGAAGAAGGAAGGGGCATCTGCAGAGCAGTGATTGACAGTGGCCAAACCACCAGTCACACTTTAAGGAGAAAGACACAGTGCCAGTGGGTAAACAGAGGCTGCTAATGGGAAACAGAACACAAACACTCAATAAACAAGACCAAGCTGGCATTTCCTCTTGAAGCATTAGCAAAGATGATCAAAGCCTACCTAAAACATGCCATTTCTGCCTACTTTCATTTGTAAAACTGTGTACAGACTGACAGTGAGGGTGTGAAATTTGGAACACAATCTCAGACCACATAGCAAGTCCTCTAAGTTGTCCTTGGACTCAGTAATTCCACTTCCTCGAATCTATCACAAAGAAATAGCTTACACATTTAAATTGAAATACTTTCCAGTAAATCTTTGTAATGAGCATATATGTATATCCCAAATTAAAATATAAGATTTGAACTACATAAAGATAACAGATTTATGAGTCCAAGAAAGAGGGATAAATTGTTTCAGCCATAACGAGAGTGTTTAGAGTCAGGTGTGGTGGTGCACACCTGTAATTCCAATACCTGGGAAACTGAGACAGGAGAGTCACTGGGAGTTCAAAGCTAGATTGGGATACACAGTGAGTTTCAGGTCAGTCTGGGTGTGCTGGATAACCTCAATTGTCAGCTTGACACACCGGGGGTGGGGGGGGACCTCAACTGGGGAATTTCCTCTAACAATGGGCCTGTGAGCATGTCTTTGAGGCACTTTCTTGGTTGTTGAGTGATGTGGCGCACTCAGCCCAGTGTGGGTGGTGCCACCCCTGGGAAGGTTCCAGGTTGCATAAGAAAGCAGGCTGAGCCTAGCCCAGGGAACAAGCCAATGAGCAGCATTCTTCCCTGGTCTCTGCTTCAGCTCCTGCCTCTGGCTTCCCTCAAGAATGAACAGTAATTGGGATGTGTAAGTCAAATAAGCCCTTTCCCCTGCAAGTTGGTTTTGATCAGAGTGTTTTATCGCAGCAACAGAAAGTAGCTATGACACTGGGCAACAGAGTAAGACCCAGACCTCAATACCTGAGGTTGACCTCTGGCCTCCACAAACGTGTGTACACATGTGCATGTGAACTTGCACACACATGAACATGTATACAAATAATACACATACAAAAAGTAATGTCTTACAGAACTTGTAAAACTTATTTTCCTAGTCAGCATTCTCTGAACAGCTATTCTAGTTTCATCTCTTGTTACTACGATAAAACATTCTGAGCAAAAGCAACTCAGGGAAGGACGGGGTTACAGTTTAATTCAGCTTACAGGTCACAGTCATCACTGAAGGAAGTCAAGTGGGAACTTGAAGCAGAGACCATGGAGAGACACTGTTTTGTGGCTCACTCGCAGGCTCATGTTTAGCTTGCTTTCCTATATAGCCCAGGACCACCTGCCCAGGGAATGGTGCTGCCCACAGTGGGTGAAGCCCTCCCACATCACTCAACCATCAAGAAAATGTCTCACAGACACAGCCCCAGGTCAATCCGATGGAGACAGTTCCCCAACCGAGGCTCCCTCTACCCAGGTGTGTCAAGTTGACAACTAAAGCCATCCAGCACAGCAACAAACAGCAGAGGGGAGGGGAGAGGAACCGAGTGGCCTGGCCTGCAGAGCCAAGTCGTAGATGGCTCCTTCTCCACATCTCCCTGGAACCTGGCCTCCCCTGTCAGGAAGCTGATCCCACAGGGACAGGCTGTGTGTGGATGTCAGGCTAAAAGCACCAGCTAAGGCCCCTATCCAGAACCATGTATGGTAGGGACTGAGTCTTCAGATGATCCTAGCCTTGGTTTATCTTTGACTCAATCAGCTGTCACTCAAGCACTGTGGAGCAGAGATGGCCTCCCAACCAGGCCCTTCCTCCAATTTCTGAATATCAAGCTTCATTATTTTATGTATCCTTTAGATTTATTTTTATTCACGTGCTTGTACACGTATCATGTGTCTGCCACATGTATGTAGATGCCTGAGGGGTCAGCAGAGAGCCTTGGATCCCCTTGGAGCTGGAGTTACGGGCAGTTGTGAGGTGGGTACTTAGAGGCAAAGTCAGGTCCTCTGGAAGAGCAGCAAATACTCTTAACTGCTGAGCAACCCGTCCAGCTCCATGATTGGTTATTTTAAGTCACTAAGTCCTCAGTGGTTTGTTATGTACCCCCACACAGCAACCAGAAAACTGGGCTACCTGGTTATCCTACATGGGACCCTGTGTGGATAGATGAGATTGTTATATAATGCTAGCAGGAAGCACACCCTGGTTCCTAGGCAAAGAGTGATGATCATAACAGACTAGGTCTTTCAAAATATTAGTGATCAGATCTGTCCCAGGGAGAGGGGCCCCTGAGCATGCTGGGAACTATGACCATGAGGCTGGGAAGCACAGAAAGAGATGACCAGAAGTGGCCATTGGTTTAGGTCCCTGGCTCCTCATTCCATGTTTGAGTTACTAAACAGTGCAGGCACATCTTCTAAAGGGTGTGTGTATGTGTGTGTGTGTGTGTGTGTGTG